CGACCCTGACCAACTCAAGAGCAATGAATTCAGACTCTATAGTTGATCGTGCTATACAAGTCTGTTTTGAAGACTTCCATGAAATAGCACCTGCACCCAAAGTGAACAAATAGCCACTAGTGGAGCTAACTTCATCATTTTAGTAACCCAGTTTGCATAACAAAATCCTTCTAAAACAGCAGGAAATTTATTAAAATGCAAACACCAATCCATAGTACCTCTCAAATATCTTAGCAAACGATGAAGAGCATTCCAGTGTTCACTACTAGGGTTGTGAGTATATCTACTCAATCTACTAACAGCATAAGCAATATCAGGTCGTGTATAATTCATGAGAAATATTACACTACCAATTATCTTAGCATACTCAGTTTGAGAAATACTAGATTCCTTATTCTTTTTCAAGTGTATGCTAGGATCATAAGGAGTTCTCACAGGTGCTACATCAAAACAATTAAACCTTTTCAATATTTTCTCAATATAATGAGACTGAGACAATGAAAAACCATTAGAAGTTCTTTTGATTTTAACCCCTAAAATCACATCTGCTTCTCCAAGATCTTTCATTTCAAATTTAGAAGACAAAAAATTCTTAGTCTCATTAACAACATTCACATTAGGGCCAAAGATTAACATGTCATCCACATACAGACATATAATAACACAATCTGATCCTATCATCTTGGAATAAACACAAGTATCAGATGCATTAACAACAAAACCATTATCCACTAATATGTTATTAAACTTTTCATACCATTGCTTAGGTGCCTGCTTTAGACCATAGATAGACTTTCTCAATTTGCATACTTTATTCTCCTGTCCTTGGATCATAAATCCCTCAGGTTGAGACATATAGATCTCTTCCTCTAAATCACCATTTAGGAAAGCTGTTTTAACATCCATTTGATGTATTACCAAATTATGAATAGCGGCTACAGCAACAAGAGTTCTAATAGTCGCTATCTTAGTCACAGGAGAATAAGTGTCATAGTAATCAATGTCTTTCTTTTGATTAAAACCCGTAATAACAAGTATAGCCTTATATTTCTCAATTGTACCGTCAGGTCTCAACTTCTTCTTAAATATCCACTTGCTACTTATGGGTTTACAACCTTTAGGCAAATCAGACAAGTCCCAAGTATGATTAGAAACTATAGAGTCTAATTCACTTTTAATGGCCTCTTTCAAAAAACTAGCATCTATTGACCTCATTGCTTCACTATATGTCTTAGGTATTCTTCTATTAAATAGATTGATACTAATTCATCACTCAAAACATCAAGATCAATATTTTCAGTCAAGAAAGTAGTAATAAAGTCAGGACCAAAGCGAGCTTCAATTCTACGCCTCTTGCTTCTTCTAAGGTTATTTTCATGCTCATTAGCAGTAGCACTAGAAGAAGGCACAATATGAGAATTAACATGCATAAATGTAGAAGCATTATTAGTCACATCACTAGGCACATTGTTTTTCAATGGAAAAACCTGCTCCAAAAATTCTGCATCTCTAGATTCGCAAATAGGATTATCATTCAAAGACATAAATCTATATGCAACACTATTTTGAGCATAACCAATGAAAATAGTATTAAAAATCTTGGGTCCAACAGTTACTTGTTTAAAATCAGGTAGACCAACCTTAGCCAAACACCCCCACACTTTCAAAAATTTTAAGTTAGGGGCAAACCCTTTCCATAACTCATATGGAGTTTTATCTAACTTCTTATGAGGAACTTTATTAAGAACATAGCATGCAGATAAAACAGCTTCCCCCAACATATTATCAGATAAACCCGAACTCAAAAGCATAGAATTCATCATTTCCTTAAGGGTTCTATTTTTCCGTTCGGCTACACCATTTTGTTGGGGAGTATAGGGAGTACTAATCTCATGTATAATACCATTTTCCTCACAAAAGGCTTCTAGAGTATTAGTACTATATTCACCACCCCTGTCAGACCTAAGTCTCTTGATTTTTCTATCTAATTGATTCTCTACTTCTGCATTGTATTTTAAAAACATGCTTTCAGCTTCATCTTTTGACTTAAGAAGATATACCTAAGTGTATCTGGAAAAGTCATCTACAAAGGTGATGTAGTATTTCTTTCCACCTTTACTAATATTATTTCTGAAATCTGCTAAGTCTGAATGTACTAGTTCAAGCAATTCTATTTTTCTACTAGTTACATTCTTAAAAGGCTTTTTGGTATGTTTTGCTTCTACACAAACAGGACACTTAGAAAAATTATCAACATTAATTGCAGGAATTAATTCCATTTTTCTAAGTCTTTAATAGAAGCAATATTAACATGCCCTAGTCTACCGTGCCATCAATAGACTCATCAATATAAGCAGAATTGAAAGTACTAGCATTATTAGTAATCTCTTGAGCGATGTTTAGTGCAAATAAACCCCCACTAAGGTAACCTTTCCCAACAAAGTGTCCCCCACGAGAAATAATAACTTTATCAGATTCAAAAACAAGTTTAAGACCTGCTTTATTGAGAAGCGCACCAGAAACTAAGTTTCTACGAAGGGAGGGTACATACAGAACATTGTTCAAGGCTAAGGTTTTTTCAGAAGTTAGCTTAAGGAGAATTTTTCCTTTACCCATAACTCCAGCTGTAGTGGAGTTACCTATGTAGACACACTCGCCATCAGCAGATTCCTCAAAGTCGTGAAACA